CGAACTAGAAATATTCGTTAGTGTAGAGAAACGATATGATACATTCCTTATGAAAATCTTGCTGAAAGACTGAATATATACTGCAAAGTTATCAAGAAAGATACTTTAGTAAATTTGTGATAATTTCCAGCGAAAACTTGTAGTATCTTGGTAATGTACAATAATAATCACTTTAAATAAATTAAATAAAAATTTCTTTTTATCTGAAGCTATCAGTTTTACATATTGTAATAACGGTAATGGTTCCTTAACGTTGATAATGAAGCGACAGACGGTGACGTAAATGGCTCTAACTATGTGTTCCAAAGACTTACATATTGTATTTTTATAGTATATTATATGTTACAGAATATTATAATATTATTTTATTCGCAAATATTGAAATGATGGATCAACATTAGGTATTCAACAAATATTTGTATAATAAATATAATTGCATTAGTGATTACACTATTGCTTCTCAATTTTCAACAAAATATTATTATGATTAATCAGAAGCAAACGGTTTAAAACAACCTACTCAATAATCAAAACTTCTAAAAACTTGCGGAATATTATTTTAAATAATAATCTGTTTTAACCTGTTTTAAATATTAACGCTTCATTATCGAATAATATATATATTTTTAAGGACGTAACAGAGCATTTATTTAACATGTGGTTAAGTTATATACAACTATTTTATTTTAATATAAGACATACGCAAGTCAATTGAGGAATATTATCTGCTATATTATCATATATTTATATAATAATTAGGTATATTTATATATAATTATATTTAATGAGGGATTATATATATAATTATTTTTAAAAGCAGCATTAGGTAGCATCATACAAAATTATAAATAAAGTTGTGTAAAATTATATATAATCATGTAACATTATACATAAATTTGTATGCTGCTATTTGACATTACATAGTTAAATATAATTGTGTATAAAAAAATTTGTACGTCAAAAATTTTGTTTTGCAGAATATTAACGATATGTTAAAAATGAATTTTGTACATCGTAATAGGTGTAGTCCCATCATTCTGAAATATCATTCTTTTTAATGAGTGCAGTCCAGGTTATTTAACTGCGACAATCATGTACAAATTAGTGACGCAAATCAGCTATGACTAGTTGGCAGACGTACTGAGAACAAATACATGAAAACATATTTGTGTAATATAAAATTTATTTCCGTGAAATCATGTTTATTTCTA